TGAAGGGTTGCAAAGTGGTGTGGGTAGTCCCAGCAGGTAACTAAGCATCACCCAGCCACTTGCTCCCTCCCCCTCAGTGGGATGGGGGAGAGAATTGGAAGGATTAAAGTTCAATAAGTAAACTGAAAGCTGTGCATGCAAGCAAAGCAGAATAAGAAGTTCATTAACTGCTTCCCACTGCAGCCATATGTTCAATCCTTTGCAGGGAAAAAAAGTGCGGTTTCGTCATGGGTAATGGTTACTTGGGAAGCCAAATGCCATAATTCTGAACATCCCTGTCTTCCTCTGGATTTTATTGCTGAGCATGATGTAATACAGTATGGAATATCCCTTTGGTCACTTAGGATCAGCTGTCCAAGCTATCCCCTCCCAGCTTGTTGTGCACCCCCAAGCCTCCTCGCTGGGGTGGCACCATGAAGAACAGAAGGCCTGCACTGCTCAGCAACAGCTAAAACACTAGTATGTTATCAACATCGCTTTGCTCAAAAATCCAAACCATAGCACCGTAGCAGCTACTGTGAAAAAAATTTAACTATCCCAATCAAGAAGCCATATCTGATTTGTCTCCAAGTTTTATACACAGTAGTATCATAGAATTATAGAACGGTTTGTGTTGGAAGGGACCTTAAAGCTCCTCCAGCTCCAACCCCGGCCCCGGGCAGGGACACCTTCCACTAGAGCAGGTTGCTCCAAGCCCCTGTGTCCAACCTGGCCTTGGACACGGTTGGGGATGGGCCAGCCACAGCTTCTCTGGGCACCCTGTGCCAGCACCTCAGCACCCTCCCAGGGAAGAGCTTATGCCCCAGAGCTCGTCTCAATCTTCCCTCTGGCAGGTTAAAGCCATTCCCCTTTGTCCTATTGCTACCTGCCCTTGTCAAAAGCTCCAATTTAGATTTCTTGTAGGCCCTCTTTAGGTATTGGAAGATTGTTATAAGGTCTCCCTGGAGCCTTCTCCAAGCGGACCCAGCCCAGCTCTCTCAGCCTGTCTCCAGAGCAGAGCTGCTCCAGCCCTTGCAGCATCTTCATGGCCCTTATGCCTTACTACATGTTAGTTTTGGTTTACTTTTTTCCCTTTTCTGTGCCACCCAGTCTTGAGCAGAGTATCTTTCAAGCAATTATACTTCAGTTTGTCATTGCTAGGTAGTGTTTAAACCCCAAGTTTTCTTATAGCTTGCAAGTAACAAGTAAAAGTTAATTATTTAAAGCTTTTCCTTTTCCCAGCTTCATCACTTGGGCTAATAAAGCCATGTTCCTTTTCTCTCTCTCTCT